GAAAATCTCTCCCCTGAGAAATTGAAGGGCGCCATTTGGGACGGTGGGGGCTTAGAGGGGTCTGTGTGCCAGGAAGGTGGTGACGTCTACGGCCATTGATCGGAGTGAATTAAGAGGCAGTTTCATCTGCACAGATCAGATAATAGTGAGAGGGGCAGGAAGGGTGAGTGAGAACCTGGATTGGTTGGTTGCTGTGGGTGCAATAGAGATGGTCTCATACCACCTAGGACTCAAAAACCCTCAGGGTCAGGCAGGGAGGGTGGCCAGTAGCCTGAGGCAGATTGTGCAGAGCTCCTGAGAGAGAGGCTGAGAGGTGGGTCCTTGATGGAGGATTCAAGAAAGAGGGCAGGGGCAGCGGGCTGGGCAAGGGTGTACCAGAGGGAGAGGCAGAGAACCAGGATGGCAGTGCGCTCAAGGCAGTGGGCTGTAGAGCTCCTGGCTTCCTAGTCCTCAGCCATTAGGCCTTGACTACGTTTTATTCAAGCTCTTTCCGCCTCAGTTGCCTCATCCACAAAATGGGGACAATACGGTTAATTTTCCCCGGGCAAACCAAACAGTTCTATCTAGCGCACAAGTGTGTAAATAAATAACTCTATATACAATTCATATTGACATTATATTTTAATTTAAATTTATATAAATTTTATTTTGTATTCTAATTTGTCTTCTTAATCAGTCAAATTCTAAAATGTAGGTTGACGTGGGACGCCTGGGTGGCTCAGTCGGTTAAGCGTCTGCCTGCCTCTCAGGTCATGATCCCAGGGTCCTGGAATCGAGTCCCACATCTGGCTCCTTGCTCAGCAGGGAGCCTGCTTCTCCCTCTTCCTGCTGCTTCCCCTGCTATGCTTTCTCTCTCTCTCTGACAATAAATTTTAAAAAATAAAATAAAAAATAAAATGTAGGTTGATGTTTTCCATGTAGTTTTTCTCATCTTTATGTTACCAAGTTTTTGCTTTCTATTTTTGCTATAGTATCTGTTGGGCAAATGAATAGTCAAGATTATTATATCTTCCTACAGCCCAACTTTTATCCCTAAAAAATGACTTTCTCTTAGTGATAGTGCACTAAAGTTTAGGCCACATCCTTTTTTTTTTTTTTTTTAACTATCATTTTATCAATATCTTCATATTTAAAACTTGTTCTTTTTTTTTTTTTTTAATTTTTTTTTTTTTTTTACACAGAGAGACACAGCGAGAGAGGGAACACAAGCAGAAGGAGTGGGAGAGGGAGAAGCAGGCTTCCCGCTGAGCAGGGTCCTGGGATCATGACCTGAGGCAAAGGCAGACGCTTAACCATCTGAGCCACCCAGGTACCCCTGTTCTGTCTTTTTATGATGGGATTCCTGCAGTCAGACTCTTGATAATTCAGACTGTTGTTATGCATTGGCTGTTGTTAGAATTGCTTTGCATTTGTAACAAATTCCCTTCACAATAGCTCTTGTCACCACATTTCAGTTTTCCTTTCTGGTGAGGCAGGGCAGCTTCCTGAATGTTTGTTCCCTTGTTTGTGCTTTGGCTATTCAGACCCTTTGCATTTATCTATTGTTGACTTTTTTAAAAGAAAATGATGACTTAAGAAGGCTCTCCTGGAGGTTTTAAAGTCTCAGCTTACCCATTTCTCAGAACAAATCACAGAGATAAAAAAGCAATAAATAAGAAAAGCAGCAGCAGAAAAGCTTGTGGCCTCCAGAACCGTAAGAGAATAAGTTTCTGTTGTTTTAAGGTACTGTGCTTGTGGCAGTTTGTTACAGCAGCCACAGGAAACTAATACACCAGGCAAGCAGCTTGCTCATCCATAGAAGGGTTTGTCTGCCGATTTGTCAGCAAGTAAGGTAAGGGGGACTGTGGCTCTGATTTAAGATTAAGGCCATTGCTCTGGCAGAGCCCAGCCTAGAGCACGGCTCATACTCCGATGCTGCAGAAACCAGACCCCACCCACATCCACCAACACTTTGCTTTACTTTCTGCTCATTCATAGAGATATCAGTGCTGCTTTTTGTCCCTGCTGTGTCTCTTGCATGTCTTTTGTTTTTGTTGGTTTTTTTTTAAAGATTTTATTTATTTAGGGGCGCCTGGGTGGCTCAGTCGTTAAGCATTTGCCTATGGCTCAGGTCATGATCCCGGAGTCCTGGGATCGAGCCCCGCATTGGGCTCCCTGCTCCGCGGGAGCCTGCTTCTCCCTCTCCCACTCCCCCTGCTTGTGTTCCTTCTCTTGCTGTGTCTCTCTCTGTCAAATAGAGTGAGAGAGGGAGAGAACAAGCATGAGTTGAGGGAGGGGCAGAGGGACATCCACATTCCTGGAAGGTGACACCCCAACTCCTGCACTCGGGAAACTCACGGACCTCACCCCATGTATCTCTTTATCTAGTTGTTCGTCTGTATCCTTTATCATATACTTTAATAAACTGGCAGATGTATATGTTCCCTTGAGTTCTATGAGCCACTCCAGCAAATAATTGGATCCAAGGAGGAGGAGGTCATGGGAATCTTCAATTTGTAGCTAAGTCAGAAGTTGTGGGTAACTTGGGGACCTGCTCCTTGTGATTGGCATCTGAAGTGGGTGGGGCAGTCTTGTGGAAGTGAGCCCTTAACCAGTGAGATCTGAGTTGAGATCTGGTGTCACAGAGAAGTGTTTGGTATGGGGAAAAAACCCACACATTTGGTGAGCAGAAGGGTCAGAAGTGTTAGGAATATTGGCGTAAAGGAGAAACTCGGGAGAAAAGACTGGGTTTTTCCCAACTCACTGTCTGAACCAGCGCTCCATGTGTGTACTTTTAATCCAGGAAGTAACTTCCAGAGCTTGTGGAGGAATTTGAACTTTAACCTGAGGACAGTGGGAAGCTGCACACAGTGACAGAAGCTGCAATCTACCGTGGCCCCTGTGGCTTGCTGGGAGAAAGGGGAAAGACAGGCCATAGGACCCAGTCGGATCTTCTCCAGTAAGCCAAGCAAAAAGCAATTGCTAGGCCAGACATCAGAGACCAACGGTGTGGAGAGTTACATGATATTTGAAACTTGGGGACCCTGGGTCTTTGTAACTGAATGTGACAAGTGAGAGTGAAGGAGAGGTCAAGAAGGACTTCAAGTGTCCCAACTCAACCTCCTGTATTCTCAGTACACATGTGAAGATCAGAGAGTCAAACATTTCCAGGTTAGGAAGTACATACGTGAGTGGTCTGCAGTGCATCGCCTAGAGACGATGTGTAGGTTTGTGGTGCAGGAGCCTCTACTTTGCCATCACCTCCATCCCTGACCCTCCTACCTCCCTCTTTATCAGGATCATTGTGTTGACATCAGGCCCACCAGAAAATCCGGGATAATCTCCCCATCTCAAGATTCTGAACTAAATCACGTTTCCAGAGTCACTTTTGCCTGCAAGGTAACATATTCACAAGTTCTGGGGACTAGCACATGGAAATCTTTGGGGGGCCGTTAGTCAACCAACCACAGACATGGTCAAAAATTTTGCAAAACCCTAATCATTGCAAAGGGGGGATCAGCTGAGACAGGTGCCCTGTGCCATGGTCAGACGAAAGGATGGTGTAGACACAGGTTTAGTGGCATCCTGGTGTGCGACAGCCTTTTGTGTGGGTTCTCTTTCCGGTGAGTGAGAGGTGAGTGTCCTCAAAGTAGTTTGCCATCATTTCTGTCCTAAGTAGCTTCTGAGTTTTCCATCTTACTCAGAAAGAGAAGATGATGAAAATAAAGAGGGCTGAGTGAGCCAGATTTTCTGCAGCTCTACTAATCTGTGAGATTGGCCCAGAGCTGAAGAGTCCTGGTGCTCCTGGGGCACAGCCTTGCCCTTGTAGAGCAGTTTCTCAACCTTGGCAGTATTGATGTTGGAAGCGGAGTCATCCTCTGGTAGGGGAAATGTTGAGTACTGCCTCTTCTACTCAGCCCGCTGCAAGTTGTGACAACCACACATCTTCAGACATTGCCAGATGTCCCTTGATCTGCTCCCAGTTGAGAACCACTGCTGTACAGAAAGGGCCAACTTTCTCACACTTCCTAGAGATGTTTCTCTTTGTGGCCTTGTCCTTTAGTTGAGCCTGAGACTCACTTTGCAGGGGTGTCCCCAAGCAAACAGACATTTTATCAGGTAGGCTCTCCCCAGGGACTCAGAGGTAACCTCCCAGCAGCTGGTCAGGGAATAGGCCTTTCTTTGGAATGTGTGGGGCATGGACCACCCAGGCCTGCTGAGTCAACCTGTTATGTACACTCACTGTATTAGGTGTGTGCTGTGGACAGTGTGGACATACCAGCGTCATTGTGGATGGATGGAACTTTTACTTTTTTTGGTATGGGGTGGTTCTGTTCTTTTAAGTTAATGCTGGGAGTCAGGTAAATGTGTACACCAGCTCTAAAAGTTGAAAGTTGAACATTTTGTCACAGACTTATGTTCTGCTTTAAACGTTTTTTAGTGGGATACAAATGTTTCCCCCTCCCCCCCCAAAAAAATTTTTTATTTGACAGCTATTCTAATCATTCTGGATTCCATTTCTTGCATGGTTATTGCTGCCTCATCTGTACTGGCCTGAGTGCCAAGCTAAGAGATAACCCTGCATTTTGAAGCCATTGTCTTCTGCTTCAATGGTGAACTGGCTACTCAGCACGCTCCTCTATTTATTTATTTGTTTATTTATTTGCTTGCTTGCTTAAAAGTTTATTATTTATTTTTAGAGAGTGCATGCAGGGGGAGGGAGGGGAGGGAACAGAAGGTGAGGGAGAGAAAGAATCTTAAGCAGGCTCCACACCCAGCGCGGAGCCCAAGGCATAGGCTTGACGGCGGTGCTCAGTCTCACGACCCCGAGATCATGACCTGAACTGAAATCAAGAGTAGGATGCTTAACTGAGCCGCTCAGGTAGCCCAGCACTCTCCTTTTTATAGTGATTCTCGGAGGACTTGAGTGCTCATTTTGCCTGAAGGATGTTAGGTTTGTGTGACAAAGAGAGACTGGGACCCACCATGAAGGTGATGGCCAGAAAAGAGTGTCTGCAGAATTAAGTTTGGGAAAGGAGTTCTCAGACCCCGGCTGTGTTGGAAGCAGTAGAGTTCTCAAAACAGATTGTCTTGGAAACGAGAGAGCACAGTGGGAAGCTGCCTCTGGGGTTTTGTGGTTTTAGCAGCTGCAAGTGTTGAGGTCCTGGCCCATCTGTAAGCACTATGCGCCTGCTGGCTCTGGCCAGGAGTGGCCCCCAACACGCTCTCCAGGGAGCTCAGGACCTAAGAGAAACCCCAGCACCTGGACAAGCTCAAAGAGGAGATGACACTGGTTGAGGAACTGACCCAAACATTTGAAGGAAAGGTGAGAACTGCCAAAAACGTGAGGCATGGAGAGAGCACACTTACCCTGATATGTGACTTGATTCTTGATTCTCCAGGGAAATGGGTTTTATAAAGTAGAATAAGAAAAATGCTAGCATTCAGTCCTGGGAGATCAGCAAGTGTCTGCCTCCTGGAAGCAACGAATGAGAGGCCTGGGTTTCCCTGGGCTTCCAGCCCACAGGATACCTGTTCTGTTTCAAGGGGGTGAGGGTCCAAGGTTCTTTGTGACCTGGATGGCACCGTACCAATGAAAGTTGCCATCTGGCAGAGTGAGCAGTAGCTCCATATGAACAAATGCAGCATACATCTCTGGAATGTTGGGTCGTCTGGAATGACCAGTGACTAGATAGATGGTATGTGTGTGCACACCGGTGTAGATGTGCTTTTGATACAAGTGGGCGAGCAGGAGGTAAATATGGGGAAGGGTTTAAGGCAAGATGCGGCAGGATTTTTGTCTGGCTGTCTCAGTGGGACAGTCACATGACTGCGGCCAAGCTGTTACATAAGTAGAGTATGGGAAGCAATGACACAGTAAAGTATCGGACGATAGATGTGCCCCCCACACACAGCGGGGCAGCACCCTGCACCTTCACGGTGGCTTGGGGAGTGCGCACCTGGGACAGCACCCTCCCACAGAGTGCTCTTCGCTGTCCTCTTGGGGATTTTCACCCTCCTTGTCCCCAGCCCTCCAACCCCATTTTTGGAAACTAGCTGATGTTTTACTGTGATACTTAAAAAATGGTGCATCTTTTCTTTTTTTTTTGAAGCCAGATCATGTTTCACTGGTATTCAAAAATTGTACAGTTTTCTTGAGTGATCAGCTGATGTTTCATTGGGATATTTTAAAATTGTACAGTTGTCTTAACTCTCTGCTTCTACCTCCCCCGATTTAGTCTCTTGAAATGACAGGAAAAACTGGCCAGTCCATTGTTTGGGTGTTGAGGAATGGCTGTGTATCTGTGGGCTTGCAGTTCAGATATAGCCACATGTGCCTGGGCATTTTCCTTGAGCCTGGGGTAGCCCAGGTCCATCCCTAGGCTCAGATCTGGGCAGGCTGGCCCATTCCACATCTGGAAAACTGGCTTGGCTGCCACAGCTGACCTCAGGGCCTTGGACTTTTTTTTTTTTTTTTAAAGATTTCATTTTTATTTATTTGAGACAGAGAGAATGAGAGAGAGAGAGAGAGCACATGAGGGGGGAGGGTCAGAGGGAGAAGCAGACTCCCTGCCGAGCAGGGAGCCCGATGCGGGACTCGATCCAGGGACTCCAGGATCATGACCTGAGCCGAAGGCAGTTGCTTAACCAACTGAGCCACCCAGGTGCCCAGGGCCTTGGACTTTTTAAGGCACTTGGTCAGAGCCCTGTCTACCAACTCCTCATACCCTAAGGGAATGTTCCTCAAATGGCACTGGCAGCCCTCTCCTTTGTCTGGGGTTGAGAGAGGGCTCAGTCATGTGGGCTTACTGAGGTGGGGCTGAATTCCTGATTGTTTCCTGCTTCACCAGCCCTGCCTCCTGAGGACCTCTGCCCTGCTCACGACAGCTTCTTCAGGTATGAGGAGGAAATGGAAGAACATTCTCAGTGCGGTCCCATCCCAGGTGAGTTAGAGACCTTTTCTCTCTTTGCCTCAGTCTCCTTAGCTATAAAAATGGGTCCAGGAATAGCACCCACCTCCTCGGGCTAGCACATGAGAGCACTGTAATGCTGCCCTGTGCCTTCATGTGAAAGCCAAAGGCTCTCTGTAGATAAAGCACCTACTCTGTATGGATGAGCCAGGAGCTCCTAGGACCAGACTGAACGTGAGTCTTCCACACCTGGTTCCCTGGGACAGGTCTCTGGCTCAGACTCTTTGTGATGGCTGCACAGCAGGGTCTTGAGGATGGGCAGAACTAAGCCTCCATATTCCATTCAGCCACCCTGGACCCTTGACCCTCACTAAGACTACTCATGAGGGCAGCTAAGAGTGTCCCCTTAAAGTGCCACAGATGCCCTTAGATGGCTCACAGTGCAGCACATAGTGGGGTAAGGGGTGGGTCCCTGGCCTCATTTAGCATCACAACACCACACACATTGTCTTTGTGCTTCCTGGGTGCCAGGGGGTTACTTCCCCTCGTGTCCTGTGAGACTCCCTGATGCAGGGGGCTGTCTTCATGAGGGAGGGCAGCTCATGCTAGAGGAGTTCAGGGATGTGTCCAGGTGTCCATCAGGTAAGTCGTGAAGCTGAGATGCCAACTCAGGCCTGGCTCCCCAAGGCCAGGACACATGGCTGTTTGCCTCTCAGCCTTTGAGAGCAGGCTTGACCCAGTGCTTTCTGTGAAGGGCCAGGTAGGAACTATTTTAGGCTCTGTGGGCCACACACAGTCTTTGTCTCATTCTTTATTCACATAGTCCTTTAAAAATGTAAAATTCAGTTCTTACCTGTGTTAGTCCATTTGTGCTGCCATAACAAAATACCACTGGGTGGTGTTAAGCAACAGACGTTTTTATCTTCTCAAAGTTCTGGAAACTGGAAATCCAAGATGAAGGTGCCAGCAGTGTTGCATTCTAGTGGGGACTCTCTTCCTGGCCTGCAGATGGCACCTTCTCTGGATCCTCACGTGATAGGGAGCAAGGCCCCTGGTGTCACCTCTTCCGCTCATAAGGGTACCAATTCTATCGCATGAGAGCCCTGCCCTATGACTTCCATTAGCCTTAATTACTTCTATAAAGGCCCTGTCTCCAAATACAGTCACTTTGGGGGGTAGGCCCTCAACATGTGAGGTTGAGGGGAAACAATTCAGCTCATGGCATTAGCCTTCTAAAAACATACCATAGCCCTTGGGGCGCCTGGGTGGCTCAGTTGTTAAGCGTCTGCCTTTGGCTCAGGTCATGATCCCAGGGTCTGGCAATTGAGCCCCTCATCAGGCTCCCTGCTCTGCGGGAAGCCTTTTCCTCCCTGCTTGTGTTCCCTCTCTCACTATGTCTCTCTCTGTCAAATAAATAAATAAAATCTTAGAAATAAATAAACATACATATATATATATGTATATATACCATAGCCCTGATTTGTCCTGTGGGCCAAAGTTTGCTGATCCCTGATTTAGAACAAGCTCTTTGGCTTCAAATCTGTGATTTTTGTAGAGAAGCTAGGGGTAGGGATCTCCGAGTGGGGTTCCTGTTGTTTCGTACTACAAAAAAAATCAGAAGCACTAGTGTGACCAGTGATAGATGAGACACTCAGAGGGAAGTGAAAACACCATGGGACTGGGTCCGTGTCTGATCCCAAAGGTGGGAACCCCATTAGTGCTCACAGATGTCATCTTGAGCCCACATCCTCTCCCTCCCAGTGCTGCCCCATCCCCCTAACCCGACTTCCTCACTGGGGAGGCGGAGCCCCATGGTAACACAGGTGATGTTTCAGCCACCTGTGAGCTTCAAGGATGTGGCTGTGACCTTCACGCAGGAGGAGTGGGGACAGCTGGATCTGGCCCAGAGGAGACTGTACCGCAGCGTGACTCTGGAGACCTGCAGCCACCTGGTCTCTCTGGGTAAGACGAACTCTGCCCATCACAGCAGTTTTCTGCTTCAGGGACTCAAAGCTCTGGCTCTTCTTAAGGGTCTGCCTAGGCTGCACCAGAGTATTCCAGAAATTCCTTTGAGATACAGGTCCTGAATATTGCCACTCATTCTGTCTGAAAAGAGCCAAGCGTTTTGCTGGGAGTTTCCTTGGGATGTGGAGGGCCCTCCTAATCCACCCACGTCTGACCCCAGGGACCGAGGGCTGGGCCAGAGGACACAGTTCTCCTCCTCTAGGCAGAGCACAAAGTCCTGTGTTTCTCCCCCATTGACCAGGGCTTCTGCTTTCCAAACCGGCTGTGATCAGCTGGCTGGAGCAAGGACAAGACCCGTGGAGGGCAGGACAGGGACCTCCCCGAGGTGAGTGCAGTCCAGAGAGCTGGTGAGTCAACGTGGTGAGATTGTTTCCTGCAGGACCCTGGGTCTGAGGAGGGGAGGAGGAGCACGGAGCTCCTTGCATCCAAGGCAACCACATTCTCACCCACATAGGCTTGTCCCTCTGTCCCCAGGCCATGAAAAACACATGTCACAGTTGTCCCAACATTCCTCATGTGTGGGTTCATTTCTGTTCCCATCTTCCCTTTGATCTTCACCCCTCAGCTTCTTCATCTATTCCCAGGTCCTTGTGCCCCCCTTTTCTTTGGTCCCTCACCCTGACTTCCACGCAGGGCAGCAGCTCCTCAGGTCTCCCCATCACACCTGGTCTTTCCCCTGTACTTTGGTGTCCATCCCTTCTCTATGGTGGACATTCCTACAACTTCTAGATGATCCAGAGGTGTGGTGAGAACTTGTGCACCCTAGGAAATGGCAAGGACCTATTCCTTCCAGAGGGGTTCCTACTAAATCAGTTCTTGGACTTGTTCTCCCATCTCTTCTCATCCCATAGGTCCACCTCCTTATATGTCCTCAGCCTGACTGGAACGCTTCTTTTTTTTTTTTCTTTAATAGCTGTATCGAGATACAATTCACATGCCATACGATTCATTCACTTAAAGTATGCAAAGGATTTTAGTATATTCACAGCATGTGCATCTATCACATTAATCAGTTTTAGAACATGTTCATCACCCCAACTAATTGGGCTGCTTCTGATTTTGTTGTTTTGTTTTCATTAATAAATTTTATTTATTAGAGCAGTTTTATGTTTACTGAAAGTTGAGCAGAAAGTACAGAGTTCCTATAATCACCCTTTCCCACCACACACACAGAGTTTGCTCTGTTATTAATACTTTGTATTCTGTGGTATATTTGTTACAATGGGTGAAGCTGTATCCACACATTACCAATAGAGATCAATAGTTTACGTTAGGGTCACTCTTGGTGTTGTACGTTCTGCGGGTTTGGGTAAATGTATAATGCCATATCTCCATCATTATAGTATCATGCAAAGTAGTTCCATTGCCCTAAATATCCTTTGTGCTCCACCTGTTTTTCCCTCCCTCTACCCTAACTCCTGGAAACCACTGGTTATTTTACTCTTTCTAGTTTTACCTTTTCCAGAATGTCCTGTAGTTGGAATCATGCAGTATGTGGCCTTTCTTAACTGGCTGCTTTCAGTTAGTAGTAAACATCATGTGTGTCCTTCACACCACCTTCTGACGTTCCCCTAGCCAGAGGTGTTTGGTTTATCTTGTGTGTTCCTGCTCTTTCTTACCCTGTAACTCTCACCTACAGCCTCTGTTATTTTTTCCTCTGAAGTGTCACCTAATTTTACTTGTCCTTGGTCCTTCAAATGATGCCATTCTGATTCAGTTTATGGGCAGTGTCTTTCTTCTCATCTATCATAGATATCTAGCTGATCCATACAGTCTGTTTTCCTCATTTTGCAATTTTGGCGGAGACACTGTATAAAATGTCTGACCTCCTTTGCCCAGTTTCCAATGACCAGGCACAACTTGGACACATCTTAGCCCCCCAAAGACTTCTTTCCTTCTTCCTGTCTCCAAATACCCTTTCACTCCCTGTCATTGGGTCATTGTTTCATTCGAAAAAGTTCTCATCATCAGGGATTCCAAGGCAACACCAGTGGAATCTTGGAAACACAGCAGAATCTTGGGAAGGAGAACAGTGTTGGTGGTGGAGGGTGTTGGGCTCAGATAAGGACTTTGTCCAAGAGGGAAATGTCCTCCTGGAAGTCAAAGGAGGGCCACAGAGTGTAGTTAATATTTTACCAAACAGAGGATCCTTGTGTCCTTAGCAGACATGGAGAGTGAAGCATGGGGACTTGCTCAGAGGCCCCGATAGTACTAGACGTGGGTGGCTACACGACTGAAACGGGAAGAATGACAAGTAAAGGGGGAATCTTGGAGGACCCAGGAAAGGTCCTGAGCTGGGAACCTGTACCACTGTACCTGTACCACTCATTAGAGGCCCAGTGTTTCAACAGAGGGAGGAATCCCTGTTAGAACAATAACAAGGGTGGCCATATCAATGGTACCATGTGCTAACAGTGCACTGCAGGCCAGGCACCCTGTGGGACTCACATATCGGTTCATTTGTGCATCAAAGTAAACCTTGTAAACTAAGGATTTTTATTCCTGGCTTACCATCAAGGAAAATGAGCTTTGGAAGTTGCTAGTTAGTGAAGCCCAATTGCAGCCCACCCTGGCCAGCTACTGCTTCGAGTACTACAGTCCTTTCTGGGAAGTCTGTGGCATTGGTTACAGAGTGGTTAAAGAGCTTTTCTTCTGTGGGTAGCCTGGAAGAAATAGTAGAAATGGTATGTTAAGAATATTAAGTCAGTGTTGGTGTTTGGGATCCTGTTTCAAGATCCAGAATCAGAAAATAGATAGACTAAGATTTGGGGTCAGTAATCTAGGTTGAGGTACCAGTTAGGCTCCTGTATTAATTTCCTTTGGCTGCTGTAAGAGATTTCCAGTTGTGTGGCTTAAAACAACATGAATTGATTCTCCCACAGTTCTGGAGGCCAGAAACCTGAAATCAATACCATTGGGCTGAAATCAAGGTTTAGAGTCATGATGCTCCCTTGGAAGGGTCCAGGAGGAAATCAGTTCCTTGCCTCTTCCAGCTTCTGGTAGCTGCAGCATTCCTTGCCTTATGCCCACATCACTTCAGTCTTTAAGGCCAACATCTTCAAATCTCTTTGTTCTGTGTTCATATCACCTCTATATCAAATCTCTACCTCCCCCTTATAAGGACACTTCTGGTGACATTCAGGGTCCACACAGATACTCTCCCTATCTCAGTTTCCTTAATTTATGCATCTGCAAAGACCCTTTTTCCAAATCAGGTACCATATTCACAGGTACCAGCAATTAGAATGTAGATATCTTTGTGATTATTGAAGGCTATATACCTTTAGGTCCAATTCTTTTGTGGATCCCTCCTTTAATCTTTACCTACTTATTCTTAATTCCTCTTCTCCCTCTTTGGGGACCAGTCCTCCTGGGTCACCTCTTCATTATCTTTGCTTTTTTTTACATTTTATCGCTGATACCCTGTTTGCTGATCCATCTCCTTTTTTTTTATATCCTGCATGAAATTACAATCCATGGATTAGAAACAGACCCAGAGATACCTCTCATACTTGGTGGTCTCCTTCATCCCATCCTCCCCCTCTAATACATCTCCAGTAATTCAGGTATACTGGGTTTCTTTCAGACTGGAAGAATACATTTGAAAAGAAAGAGTCAGCTTCCAAAGAGGATTTTGCTGTGGAAGAACCATTCCACCACATAGCAATGAAACACTGCATACGGGAAGAAGGCCCCTGGTTGGTGTCATTAGGAGAAAGGCAGGATTGGAGGAATCAGCTAAAGGAGCACCAGGAGGACTCTTTGAGTCAAATGGTACTTACCTCAGAGACACTGTTTGCTCAAGGAGAACATTGTGAGCATGACCTCGGGGGAAGTTATTTGAGTATAAGCCTTCTGCCTCCAGTATTACCCACAAGAACACATGTCCATACTCTTGACTCACATGTTAAAAAGTTGGAACAGAATTCAGGTTTCATTAATCATGAGAAAGGCTGGGCTGATCGGAAGCCCTATGAAAATCACCAAAGTGCTAGAGCCTTCTGTCAGAGCATTTATTTGAAAAAACTCGGAAATGTTGAAATGAGAAATAAAAAGCCTTATGAATATACTGTCAGTAGTGACTCTTTCAACTGTGGTACCTCCCTTCGATTTCATAATAGACTTTTTTCAGCAGAGAACAACAATAACTGTACAGACTATGGGAACATTGTTAATCATAGCATGTCTCTGAATGAACACAAGCCAGTGCATTTTAGAGAATGTCAGGGTGAGCGTGACGAATGCCTTGTACAAACCAAAGTAAGTGATCCTAGAGAAGCACCGTTGAGATGTCAGGAGGAACGTAATGCCTTCCACACAGCCTCGTCTTTTACTGACTGTGACATCGTTCGGACAGGAAAGAAGCCACATGCATGCAGTCAGTGTGGGAAGTCTTTCAGCTGTGCCTCTAAGCTTGTTGTACACCAGAGAACACACACTGGGGAAAAGCCCTATGAATGTACTCAGTGTGGGAAGTCTTTCAGCCAGAGCTATGACCTCGTCGTACACCAGAGAACCCACACTGGAGAAAAGCCCTATGAATGTAACCAGTGTGGGAAATCCTTCACCCAGAGTTCCAAACTTACTAGGCATCAGCGAACTCACACTGGAGAAAAACCATATAAATGTCATGAATGTGGAAAATCTTTCGGGTGGAACTCTAACCTTATTGTACATCAAAGAATTCATACTGGAGAGAAACCTTATGAGTGTCCTCATTGTGGAAAGTCCTTCAGCCAGAGCTCTGACTTTGTTTCACATAAAAGGACTCACACTGGAGAGAAACCCTATAAATGTAACCAGTGTGGAAAGTCCTTCATTCGAAGCACTCAACTTATTAGACATCTGCGAATTCACACTGGAGAGAAGCCATATAAATGCAATCAGTGTGATAAAGCTTTCACTGGGAGCTCTCACCTTATTGAGCATCAGAGAACTCATACTGGAGAGAAACCTTTTGAATGTAATCAGTGTGGGAAAGCCTTTACTGGGAGCTCTCACCTTCTTTCACATCAGAGAATTCATTCTGGAGAGAAACCATATGAATGTAATAACTGCGGGAAATCTTTTCGGCAGCGATCACAGCTTGTTGTGCATCAGCGAACCCATACTGGAGAGAAACCTTATGAGTGCAGTCATTGTGGAAAAGCTTTCAGCCAGAGGTCTCCACTCGTTGTGCATCAAAGAACACACATTGGAGACAAGCCCTATCAGTGTAACATGTGTGTTAAAGCCTTCAGTCAGAGGTCACGCCTTATTGAACATCAGAGAACACATACTGGAGAAAAGCCCTATGAATGTATTGACTGTGGAAAAGCCTTTAATGATCGGTCAACGCTTACAAAGCACGAGAGAACACACACTGGCGAGAAACCTTATGAATGTAATCATTGTGAAAAGGCCTTTAGTCAGCGATCTCAGCTTACTAGGCATCGGAGAATTCATACTGGAGAAAAACCCTACGAATGTAATGAATGTGGGAAGGTTTTCAGTTATAATACATCCCTTATTCAACATGAAAAAACTCATGGGAGATACCTCTGAAACAAATAATGCAATATATGTTAAGAAAGAAGAAGAAGAAGAAAAAGAGAGCAGGAGGGGAAGAATGAAGGGGGGGAAATTGGAGGGGGAGATGAACCATGAGAGGCGATGGACTCTGAAAAACAGAGGTTCTAGAGGGGAGGGGGGTGGGGGGATGGGTTAGCCTGGTGATGGGTATTAAAGAGGGCACGTTCTGCGTGGAGCACTGGGTGTTATGCACAAACAATGAATCATGGAACACTACATCAAAAACTAATGATGTGAATGTATAGTGATTAACGTAACAATAAAAATTTTAAAAACTCATGGGAGAAAGTTGAATAATGAAGATGGAGAGGCTCACTGCCAAACCTTTATTAGACATCAGCTGACAAAGGTATGACTCTCAGTGTGGTCTAATGATCACATGCATCAGATTTGCTCTGAGTGTTCTTGAAACTGCACATTACCAAGCTTACCTTGATCTACTAAATCAGATTCTCTGGCAGTAAAACCCAGGAGCATGCAGTTCCCAAAAGCAGCACAAGTAATTTGTATGTACATTAAAATGTGTTTATGTCTGCATTTAGATGAGAAGCTATGAACATACCACTGATTTAAAACTTTGTCAAGCTCTCAGCAGGAGTTCGGAAATTCAGTATGTAGCTATACCCACCAAATAATCTTTCTAGTGTAAACAACCACCCAAACTTAATCAGACATTGTTCCTGTAACACATTCCTAGAAATAGTGGACTGGAAGATATGCTCTTATTTTATTTTATTTTTTTAGACTGGAAGATATTCTTGATGCAAAGCCCCGAACACTCAATCTAAGAAGAAATCTTTGCATGACGAAGTTGGTGTTGAGTGATGAGATACAAAGCCAGCCAATGTAAAACAGCGGTTAACAAATTGGAGGACTGAGGATGAAAAGTCTTCTGAAATTGGTCCTAATTGGAATTAAAAGTAGACTCTGAATATATCAAGGACTCCATTGTGCTCTTAATTTAACTTTGTTGCTCAGTTAGGTTGACTATAATCAGAGCTGGGGATATAGCAATATGGAAAGTACCAAGTGAAGTGAAAACAGAACCCAATGTAGTATATACACAAAATGTTATAATCACATAAAAAACATATACACAGATGGTTGGTTAAGAAAGGCAGCTCAGGGGCGCCTGGGTGGCTCAGTTGGTTGAGCGACTGCCTTCGGCTCAGGTCATGATCCTGGAGTCCTGGGATTGAGTCCCGCATCGGGCTCCCTGCTCAGCGGGGGTTCTGCTTCTCCCCTTCCCTCTCATACTCTCTACCATTCTCTCTCTCAATAAATAAATAAAAAATCTTTAAAAAAAAAAAAAAAGGCAGCTCAGGGGCACCTGGGTGGCTCAGTGGTTAAGCGTCTGCCTTCGGCTCAGGTCATGATCCCAGGGTCCTGGGATCGAGCCCTGCGTCGGGCTCCTTGCTCAGTGGGAAGCCTGCTTCTCCCTCTCCCACTCCCCCTGCTTGTGTTCCCTCTCTCGCTGTGTCTGTCTCTGTCAAATAAAATCTTTAAAAAAGAATAAAAAAGCTCAGCAGCATGTTCAAAACCAAGGCTGAAGTGTAAATCAACAGTGGTGAAGAAAGTGGGAGAGGCCATAACTGCAAATTTGAGCAAGGTGAAAGGAGGTATGAGAGCATCACCTGGAGATGTGGAGTGGAAAGGCTGAAGCCGGGATCGTGTGAAGAGAGGGCTGCAGCAGTACAGGCCACCGCTCCCTCGCACAGCTGTACAACGGGGTGGGGTGGGGGGGTGCTGCGGTTAACTGAAGATCTGTCTATGAAACTACAAATTCTCTCTCCCTTCTCCCCTATTTTTCTTGTCTTACAGTGAGTATCTGGCTGTTGGTAAGCAGAAAATAGGAAGGAAGTTATGTACTAAAAATAGTCTGGGGGACTAGGGAATTTGGTGGATTATGTTCCGGAACAAGGACTGCCTTATTTGAGCATCCTGAGGACCTTCACCCTAACAGCTGGTTCTTGTACTTTTCACCCTCTAGCAAAGCATGCCATTAAACTGGTCTCATCCACCTATTTGAACTTCCCATCTTCTCTGATAGCCTCTTCGATATGTATGGGAGCCAAGGTGTGAAAGATGAGGAAAGCCTTCAACACGAAAAAAAAAAAAAACGTAAAACAGAAGCCAGCCCCAAAGAGAACAGATATTTGGGGAACCAGATATTTAAAAGTTTTATTCTAAGAGTGAGTCAAAAAATAATTGCAAGTGAAAAATAAAGATGCTCTTTTTAAGATTGGTTTTTTTAGCGAGAGGGCAAGAGGGTCAGGCAGAGGGAGAGGGAGACAATCTCAAGCCGACTCCGTGCTGAGCGCAGAGCCCGGTGCTGTGCTAACGACCCTGAGATCACAACTTGAGCTGAAACCAAGAGTCAGATGCTTAACCGGTTGAGCCACCCAGGTGCCCTGAGATGCATGTATTTGACCCTGATGCTAATACTTCTTAGAAGAGGCAAAGGACTCCTGAAATTGGAATAAAAGAGGGGGGATATATAATCAGATTGTTTTGATCGGCCCTTCACTGAACAGTATTTACATAGATACGATACAAACAGTAGGTGCTGAGTTTTTGTGTTTTTTTGCTTTTTTTAAGGAGGAAAGCCAGAGCTGTGACATGAGGATTTCATAATGGCAAGAGTATGATGTTCCCAGCACTGTCACTAACAGTAATGGTATGGTCTCTAGCTGTTGTAAAGTAGAAGGGGAAGAGACATCGTCGGGGGAGGAGTATCCCTGTATCCTCATCTTAGGAAGCAGCCTCTTGACTATAATATGATACATAGGTTATTTAGGAGACCAAAATTAGAGCATAAAATGGTACTATGACAGAAATTGGAAGCAAATAGAGGAGCAACAGTGGGAGCCAAATCTACATTCCTTATCAGAGCAGGAAGTCAGTAAAGTCTATAGGCCATAAAGGTCAGAATTACAGGGGCGCCTGGGTGGCTCAGTCGGTTAAGCCTCTGCCTTCGGCTCAGGTCACGATCCCAGGGTCCTGGGATTGAGCCCCGCATCGGGCTCCCTGCTCCACGGGAAGCCTGCCTCTCCCTCTCCCACTCCCCCTGCTTGTGTTCCCTCTCTCGTGTCTCTCTCTCTGTCAAATAAAGAAAATCTTAAAAAAAAAAAAAAATGATCAGAATAACAGAGATGGCCTCAGGAGGAACTGGAATAGAAACAGTTAAAAGTTGATGGGATGTGTGACTGTTGGGTAGGGTGGGGCAGGAGATCACTGGTTTTCTTTTTATACCTTCAGTAGTAACTCATTCCCTGGTGGTACACTACTTATTTGGGTAACAAATTATTTCCAATATGTACCTATAGGTGAGCAAAACAACAGTACATGAGGACATCTGCAATTGATTTGTGGGATTATATACAGTTTTCTTTCTTTTGATTCAGTGTTGCTATAATAGATTGACAATTTAAAAAACAAGAGCACAAAAAAAAACGATGTCAGACTTTTCTGTTTGGCCAATTAGACTTTATCCAGAAGGGCAGGAAGGCTCCTTGATTTCTTAGAAGTCCCTGGTACCAAAGTGGGGTGGCTTAGTCTTTTAAGACTTGACTTTCCAGAAGCCTTAATACCAGTCAGAAGGCCCCCAAGAGTGGAGACCTGGAGAGGTGCTGGTGTCCTGAGACAAGATGGAGAAAGACAGTTGTGTGAATTTGCATAACCAAGTACTGAATGTACGTCCCCCAAGGTCACTCTGGCAGTTACCTGGTATCTGTCATAAAACCCTTTAAGTAATAAAGCTCTCGTGATTCATATGAGACCCTGAAGTTGAGATGGAAAATATCTTGGCTAGGGCAGCCCACACAGAACAGGTGGGGACTTGCTTCCTGATTGGATCGTTGGTCCTGATTGCTGCCTGCACCAGTGTTACTGCATAGCTCTCAAGAGATGCCAGAGCATGGGAGGAAGAACCTGCCCAACAGATCCAGCAAAGTGCACGTTGTTTGACAATTCTTTTGACCAAACATCTGAGAGGTGTCTGCATGCCAGCAAGTCATGAGTGTGGCCTCCATTCAATGGAGGCACTGCTAGAGACTCAGGTACGGAAGATGTGTGTGATGCCACAGTGTCCTCAGGTCCCTTTTTCCATAGTGGGGACTCCACGCAGAGGCTTAGCGGTTGTGTGTGCCTAGAGACTGAGCCCAGTGGGAACTGGAAGAAGATGGAGATGAAGGGATAGGGGAGGGAAGGGTGCAGCTGCTGCTGTATATGCAACCAGTGCGTAGGCCCTGCTCTGATAGGTATTCTACCTCCTCCCAAGTGAGAAACCTGAGGCTCATAGGACCCAGGAAGTGGGCTCATTTGAAATAGGAACCTGAGGGGCACCTGGGCGGCTCAGTCATTAAGCGTCTGCCTTCGGCTCAGGTCATGATCCCAGGGTCCTGCTCCTCGGGAGGCCTGCTTCTCCCGCTCCAGCTCCCCCTGCTTGTGTTCCCTCTCTCGCTGTGTCTCGTTCTGTCAAATAAATAAAATCTTTAAAAAAGAAAGAAAGAAGAACCTGAGACCTTTCCACCCAAATGATTCCCATACCCAGAGGCCAGTGGTTTCTGACTGAAACATGCATAAGACCCACCTGAGAGGAGTGGTTAGAATTGCACGTTCCTGGGCCCATCTTCAGAGAGTCCACTTGGTCAGGCTAAGGGGGTTTCTAGATATTTGCATAGTTCAAATACACTTTCTATTTTTTTCTTAACATCTTGGGTTTTTTTTTTTTTGTGCGTGTGTGTGTGTTTTGTTTTGTCTTTTAAAGATTTTAAAGTAATCTCTACACCCAATGGGCACAAACTCACAACCCCGAGATCAAGAGTCGCATGCTCCACCAACTGAGCCACAGAGGCACCCCTATTTTTTTCTTAACATTTTTTTGTTTTGTTTTCTTAACATTTTGTAAAGAGTAATCTCAAAATTGTATATCCATGTATCTGTTTTATCTTTGTTGGTTTCAT